AAAATCAGACACGGAACGCATGTCACGTAAAGTGGCTGCGTTTTTCGTGCGCGAAAAAAGGACGGGGAGCATCCATCGTAAAGTGGAAATCCGTGAATGTCAAACATGAAATTGAAATATTTATGTTGCACTGTTTCCTCCATTATTTTAACAAAGTTTTCTGTTCAACAAAAAGGGACGATGGATGCTTCCCGTTCTGTTCTTTGTTCACACACTAAACGCGGAAAAGCCAGATCGTAAAATGGGCACACCCAGGCACGACATTTTACGCGAAATGCGTTATGTATACGAATTCGCACACTGGACCCGCACCCGCGCGATCGTTAAGTGGGATTGCCGGGCAACCTGAATTGCATCCCGCGTGTGACGCTACATTCTAGAACCCGCCCCCCGCCGGATCGTCAACACGGTTCGTCGGACAACGCCCCACTTGTCCCAATGGTCTTGTCAATCCCAAAGGTCCCCCAAGCCCTACAGGTCGCACGGGTCTCGCAGGCCCCACTGGGCTCGCAGGTCCCGTAGGTCCCACAAGTCCAACAAGTCCCACAGATCCCACAGGTTCCACAGGTCGCACAGGTCCCACGACTCCCAGAAGCTCTACGGGCCCCGCAGTGCCCGCAGGTCTCGCAGGTCCCACAGGTCGCACAAATCACAGCCCCGCAAGTTCCACCGATCCCGCAGGTCGCCCAGGACTCGCATGTCTCGCAGGTCGCACAAGCTGCATAAGTCCCAGAGGGCCCACAAGTCTCACACGTCCCACAGGGCCCACAGGGAGGCACGCTATAGGACCAGAGGGAATCGCGCAGAAACCCAACACGTGGGCAGAGTTACCCATCCCCGTTGAAAAAAAATGTTTCACACACTGGCATAAAGATGGAAGCCGAAACGATGTCGAATCAGACCAGGCGGGGCCCGTCGCATCAAGCGACATCCGCCAGTCAACGTTACGGAAAACGTCTCGTCTGCATTGCGCGGTGGATGTTCGCCATCCGACTGTGGGAACGAAGCCGCAAGACCGAACGTGGAACCGCCCACGCCAGCGGCCCTGTGAATGATTCGCTTGGTCGAGAACCCGGGCATTCAGTGGCATCCGCCTCCCTATGTGGCCACCGGACGCGCAAGTCAAAACCTGGCAGACCGATCGCCTGGCCCATGGCACACGCCTGCGCACGCTGTCAAAATTGAAAAGCGAATAACACTAAATGATCATATTTGGGCGTCGCCGTCTGCAGATCATTCAAGATGTTCGTCGTCTTGTTGGTTTGATATAACTTTTCCCAGCTGTGTATTCTTAATGGTATTCATATTATCCACCTTAGACCTGTTAGTAGCATTGTGACTATTATTCGTTATCGTTCTCTTCCTCTGTTTCTTGTTGAACTTAAAAATATGATTCCTTCATTGTTCTTCCTCCTCGTCCTCATCGTCCGCCTCGTCCTCCTCCTCCACCTCCTCCTCCTCCTCCTCCTCCTCCTCCTCCTCCTCCTCCTTCTCCTCCTCCCCAACTCCCAATCACCACGCGGCGCCCAGGGCTGCCAAGCGGAACCCGCGCCGCCGCCGCGGGGCCGCCTCCAGCCTTTCGACCGCCCTCGTCGTCGTCGTCGTAGTCGTCGTCGTCGCCGCAAGCTTCGTCGTCGTCGTCGTCTTCGTCGTCGTCGTCGCCGTCGTCGTCGTCGTCGTCGTCGGCGCCGTCGTCCGTGTCGTCGCCGTCACCGTTGTGAACGTTCTTTCGGTCTGACTTATGGCATCCGACCGAAGGAGAAGGGAGTGGGGGGGGGGGTCGGGCTCCAGACCCGTGCTAACTCAATCTGACTGAATCAAGCAGGGATCCCGCCAACCACCTGGGCGTGAGTGATATAGCGGGTATCCTATTCCAACCCCCTTTTTTTTCAGGGTGGGGTTTACCACTGTGCCCTATTAAAGAACACACACCCTTCCACACACGACCGACAGCCAGCCCGAACCCATGCCCCCCACCCCCACCCACACCATCCCTGTCAACCAAAACTGTACAACATACATGTTGCTTCCAAGGCTGGAGCCAGCGCGGGCGCACTGCCACCACTTTGCATTGTGTGTTGTCAAGATCGGCTGCGCGCAGGCCAGCCACCCCTGTCAAAAAAACAATGCAACACACATTGTTCATCCAGGTCTGGAGCCAGCACGGTCGCCCCGCGATCACTTTGCAATGAGTTTTGTCGGGGACGGCGGCACGCAAGCCAACCATCCCCGTCAGATTTATGATACTACAGAATACACGTTGCCTCCAAATATGGGGAATGCGCGGGCGCCCCACGACCACTTTGCATTGGTCTTTGACCAGGATGATCGGGTGCTACGTTTGTGTTGGGAGGGCGGGTGGGAGTGAGCGAGACGGCCCGCGTCTTGTTGGCCAGGAGATGAGGGCCTCAGAAATCAGAAGCTGACTCACAGATGCTTCAAGGTAGCTCAAAACGGCTTCCGACATGATCATCCAAGAGGCATTAAGACCGCCCCCAAGACGACTCCAAGTGCCCACGGAACCTCCTGAGAAAGGCCACCAAGAAGCCAGAACCCTTCAACACCTATCGAAAATCCATGTTGGTTGCCGTCTCGTCTTGACTAGGGAAACGCACTCTATACACCGACTCGTTTCCCGACCCTGCGCTGAAATTCGCACAGGAACGCGAATCCTGGTGTATACGGGATCCTGGTGTATAAATGCTTCGTTGTCTCCATTGGAAAACGGGGGAAAAGTATACACCACACCACCCCGACGTCGTCCCCGACCCTTAAAAGTCGTGGGATTGAAAAAACAACCCGCCACTGATAATGTATATGTTCCAATTTCAGATTTTCGCTTTCGACGGCCCTCCGAGGCCTCAAGATAATTCCAAGAAGCCCCAAGCGGAGCCCGAGAGGGTCCCAAGACAGCCAATTAGCGCCCAAGAGCGCTCAAAGGGCGCTTCAAGATGGGGTCCAAGAGGCGATCCCAGGGGCTCTAGAAGAGTGAGGCTAGTTAGGGATATCCCCCTTCTTGGATCGATCTCCTCCAAGATGGCCCAAAGATGGCCCCCAAGGCCCCCAACAGTGCCCCAAAAGGGCACCGAGAGGCTCCCAGGAGGACCCAAGAGGCCCCCGGGAGGTCCCCAAGGGGTTCCAAAGAGACCCCCTGAGAGGCCCCCCGAGGCCCCCCCGAGGCACCCAAGACGTTCCAAGAGGTCCAAGGGACCGCCAAGAGGCCCCCAAGACGCCGCAAAAAGACCCCAAGAAGTTTTCAAGAAACATCGGAAGAGAATCCGAGAAGCATCCGAGAGGCCTCTGGCCTTTCTGCTTTCCCTCCTCCTCCTCCTCCTCCTCCTCCTCCTCCTCCTCCTCCTCCTCCTCCTCCTCCTCCTCCTCCTCCTCCTCCTCCCCCTCGTCTTCCTCCTCCTCAACTCGCCTGGGCGTCGTTCCTGGATGGACTGGTGGGGTTCCGCGAAGCGCCTAGAAGTTCGGATCCGGTCAAACTACCCACTGAAACATAGGGTTCGGGTAAGAACGCGCTGAACAACAAAACGCGCGGCCAAGAGTCAGGATGCCTTTGTTCTATTTATTTGATGCAACGCAAGCCTCCGGAAACAACACTGAAACCCTGATCATCGGGCATCGCGAGCCTAACCGCTTCCAGCGCCATGGAGCCTTGTCGCTGTTTTTGCAGGAGGCACAAAAGGAAAAGGACGAACGATTGCGCACGTCAGCGTTTCGAGTCTGCAAAAGAGAGGGGGCGCGGCCCCCGTGCTTCGTCCAATTGATTGAAGCAGGTGCCCAAATCAGCCCCGAACCACTCTTTTGGGGTGAGAGAAGGGCGGGCGCTTCCGCCGATCAGAAAAAAACAAGAAAGAAGCGGCGACCTTATCGTCCGCGTCGTCGTTTTCGGCATCGTCATCGTCGGCATCGTCGTCGCGGCCGTCGACGTTGTCGTCGTCGTATGTCGTCGACGCCACCGTCGTCGTGTTCAGCATCGTCGCCGTCGTCGTCGCACTCGCCACCGTCGCCGCCGTCGTCGCCGCCGCTGGAGGAGGAGGAGGAGGAGAAGGAGGAATATGAGACCTGGGCAGGACTGGAACGCTTACGACCCTGACAAGTTCCACTGTGGTGAAAGACAAGTCTGATAATAAACCTGGAAGTGCCCCACCTTGGCGGGGAGCGGTGGGAAGCATAGTGAAACCACAGCGATATCATAATGCTTGCACCGTGCACGCAGGCCCACACCTCGACCAGGAATAGATGATGCCCAAGTCTACACGACCGAGCTGCGCTTGATGTGCGGGCCGAGGAAGAGAGCACCACCACACGACTTATTGCTGTGCGGCGATCGAGACCACCCAGCGTCGAGACACCACCTTGTGCCTACCCTGCGCCATGCGGCAACTCCAGCTGGTACACAACGATGCACTCCAGTTGACTTGAGACACGTAAAATCCGCGTTCTGCGATAAGCCGGCGACGTCCTGCAGTCGATCGGAGGTGCTGGCGTACATCGGATTGAACTGCAAGATACTCAATGTGTGCTTGACCTTCTCCAGAGCCGTAGTCATTGCTCGGATGGCCGAGGCTGCACTTGCCCCTGTGGGCCCTCAACTCATGCAAGTGAAACACCAAGAGAGACGCGCTGCCTCGACTGAACGAGCGCCGAAGAGGTAGCAGTGTGGGCTAAATTGGGGTACGGTGTAGGAAAGTGCAGTCAGCCCAGCAGAGCCGACGCTTAGGAGGAAGCTGGAGACTGGAGACTACCTCGGGTTCCCGAAGGAACCCGCTCAGGCCACTGAGGCCCGAATTGCCCGAGCGATCCACGGCGGCCGCCGCCGCCGACGGAGGGGGTCCACGACCAGTCGGCAGCGGACGGGGGCCCCACCCAGGAACCCCCACCCACGGCCCCAGCCAGGACCCAGAGCCCACAGGAGCCGACCACAACACGACGGGGCCCCCACCCTGCCGAGGTCGCAGACCCCCCCCCCCCCCCGAACCTCCTCAGGCCTCCTGGTCCCGCTGGGAGCCCTCGACGTCGAGCATCAGCCCGTCGTAGAGCTCGATGAGCTCGCCCGCGTAGTGGAGGTCCTCATCCTTGAAGTGCAGGATCAGGCCCATGATGACCTCCAGGACCTGCTCCTTCCGCGACTTGCGACCGACCTCCACCTCGCCGCTGTTCTCGCCGCACTCGGCCTTCACGACCTGGCCCTTCGCGGGGAGCACAGCCGTGACCACGTCGACGCCGAGGCGGCGGGCGGCCACCACCTGCTCCTGCTTCTCGAAGATGCCCTCGTTGAGCTGGCGAACCCACTCTGGAAGACCACCTTGCTCTCGCTCTCCGTCGAGGTCTACGCTTGACACCGGCGCCCGACTCTCGACGTCCACCTTGAAGTTGCCCGCGACGCCTTCGATGTCCACCTGGCTTGCCACCAGCACGCGACTCTCGACGTCCACCACCTTGAAGTTGTCCGTGACGCCCTCGTAGTCCATCTGGCTTGCCACCAGCTCGCGACTGCCGACGTCCACCTCGAAGTTGCCCAGCACGCCGAGGGACGGGAACGGCGGCACCTCCGCAAGCTCGTGTCCCACGGCGCCCATGCCGTCCATGAACCCAGCTGCCGAAGATGCGTACTGCTTGCCCGCGATCCCCACGTCGTCGTACCAGTCCAGGAGCTCGTCGCCGCTCTCCACCTTGAGCCCGTGGAGGCGGTCCTTCTCCTTGGGGTCCAGGTCGTAGTAGGAGGCCCTGCTCAGTCGACCACCCTGGCCGAGCGAGACCTCCCCTTGCGCTTCTTGCCCCTCTTCTCCTGCTCGTCCTTCTTCTCCTTCTTCTGGGAGTGGGTCTCCACCGCCGCGGGCGAGGCGTGCTTGGGCGTCGTGCCAGGCCACACCTCGGGCGTCGGTGCCGAGCTCGGCCAGGAAGGGCCCGTCGACGCCGAAGCCGCCGTCGACGCCCTTGGCGAGCGGGAGCGCGAACGCAGGATCGTCACCGGACGCGTCGAGCGAGTCCAGCGCGTGCTCCTCGTGACCTTGTCCTCCTCCTTGACGTCCTGGCAGGACCAGACCCCTGGCGGCGGAGACGGGACCTCCTCCTCGTCCACCTTGCCGTCCATGATGGCCTGCAACGGCGCTGCGGTCGGTCTGACTGAAGGCCTTGGCTGCGGCCGTGCCTTGTGCGGCGTGGCAGAGCGTACTGCCGCCGAGACCGCCGCGCTGACCACCGTCTCCACCAGGTCGAGCATCTCGCCACGCCCTGTTGCAGAAGGGCTGTGCGTCTTGCTCATCGCCTCCTGCCTCCAAGGCACTGAGGCGCGCCATGCCATGCCCGCCGCAACACGCCCCTCTGAAGTTAGCTGCGGCAAGCCCAGGACCCCCCAGCCTGGACCAGAGAGGCTGACGCTAGGAGGAGTAGGAGGAGGAGGAAGAGGAGGAGGAAGAGAACGAGGAAACGGAGGAGGGTCGAGGATTGGGGCATTGGCAGGAGGAGGGAGGAACAGGAGGCGGAGGAACGAGGAGTCGAACCAGCAGGAGGAACAGAAGACAGAGGCCAAGGAAGGGGAGGGAGGTGGAGGAGGAGAAAAAGGAGGAGGAAGAGGAGGAGGACGACGACGTTCTGTAACGGACAGGTTGGCAAGCGCCACTCATAAAGGGGGCGGGGTGATTCGTCCTCCGCTGCGCAGGATCAGTCAGCATCGAATCAGTAAATCGGACCGAATGGAACACGTGTATCAGATCGGGCTGCATCGGCACGGAATCGAAATCGAGTCGATCGGCTGCGCCAGGACTCACAACAGCGCCATGCAAACATCGGGCCGCATCGCATCGTCGGCATATCGGAATCGCATTGGATCGGGCAGGCCAAAATGGACGTGAAATCGGATCGATCATTTCGAAATGAACTCTGCCCTCCGGGACGCTCAACGACGACGACGACGACGACGACGACGACGACACGATGACGACGACGGTGACGACGACGACGACGACGATCACGGCGACGACGACGACGACGACGGCGACGGCGACGACGACGACGACGACCACGACCACGACCACGACCACGACCACGACCACGGTACACCTTCTGCGGTGTTCTGTAAGCGCGCGGGACAGGCTGGTAAGCGCCACTACTGGGGGGTCAGGGTGACCTTTCCTGCCCTGGGGGGAGGGCCCCGCGACCAGGCCTCGAGCTGCCCTGCGCTCTCGGCAGCGGCCGCCGCTGCGCCCTCCTTCCACTCGCGCCTGCGCCGCCGCCATCGCCGCCGCCGCCGTCGCCGCCGCCACCGCTGCCGCCGTCGCCGACGCTGCTGATGCTCGCAACCGGCCTGCGCCACCACTGCGCCCTCCCGCGCCCGCCGCCATCGCCGCCGCCTGCCCCCCCCCCGCCTCTGCCACGGGCGCTGCCGCTCCCCACAAGCCTCGTCAAAAATATCCAGAAATGGAAGTTGAAATCCTCGAGCACGATGCTTTCGGGCACTTGTCAGAAAGCGCGTTCTTCAATGCTGAGAGGGCGGGTCGGTTTTTTGACAACACCGTGTCCGAATCAATAGGCATCCGTCAGCACTGGAGTAGCGCTGACCCCACAATCACCGAATCCAGAAGTCTTCTGATAATTATTGACGAGGCTTGTAGGACGAGTCCACGATGTTATGATGGGGTTCGCTCAGGATGCATCCCATGATTGCCAGGGCCTCTCGCGGGTCCCGCTTCTGCAGCCCGTGTGAAATATTTGGAAATTGTCGAGATCCTGGAGTTCTTGGGCATCTTGGACCGCATCATCTTACCACATCCTGCTACTCCGACTCCCTGCCCAGACATGCTCGGGTCGTGGACTGCACGACGGGAGATGTACGGCAACCTTCAACCTTCAGGGGGGCCTCGCCGGGCCTCGGGGCCGCTCCCAAAAACTACGCACCCGGGATGAGACAGCGCGCCTGGGGAATGGGTCGGGACTGCAGGGGGCATCGCATGTCTGCTTGCTGCCCCTGCTGGCGCCGCTGATGCTGCCAGGTGCTGCCATCATCATCATCATCATCATCATCATCATCATCATCATCATCATCATCATCATCATCATCATCAGCATCATCATCATCATCATCATCATCATCGTCATCAACAACAACAACATCGTCATCATCGTCATCAGCATCGTCATCATCAGCATCATCATCATCATCATCATCATCATCATCATCATCATCATCGTCATCGTCATCAGCATCGTCATCATCATCATTCGGGTCGCCGGTGATGGGGGGTCACGCAAATGGGAGGTCTGCGCACGTATCCCGAACGGAAGAATCGGAAACGGAGGCCCTGCTCGCAATGTGTGCGACGCTCGGTATGCCCGCATCTGACGGTGGCTCTCCTAAGCCCGAGGCGCAACTGCTATGTCGCCAGAGAGTTGCGGTCTGCGCACCGCACGAAGGCCACCTGGTCAGACATCTGGATGCGCGAAACGGGTTGCAATGCATGAGAGTGTCCCAGAACTGCCCCCTAACTGCCCCAGCGGGTCAAAAAGTGGCTCGAAGATGTCCTAAGGGGCCCAATGCTGCATTGCACGAAGTGACCGAAACCGAAAAAGTGCATCCACTTTTTTCTGCGCGCAGCGACCGCGCGCGCGGCCCTCGTGCCGCAACGTAACCCCTCAGGTTGGGGCCGGTCAGAGAAGAGCTCTCTGCGGCCCACATAGAACTCACCGCGGCGTTGACCACGCAGCAGAAGGCGGGCCAGATGGCGGCGCCGAGGACTTACAAAAACATGCAGTGCAACACAGGGCCCCTTCAACGTGCAACAAAAACACCCTTTTTGCACATTTGCGTGACCCCCCATCACAAGCGACCCGAATCATCAGCATCATCATCATCAGCATCATCATCATCATCAGCATCATCATCGGCATCATCAGCATCATCAGCATAATCAGCATCACCATCATCATCATCATCAGCAGCAGCAGCAGCATCAGCATCAGCATCAGCATCAGCATCAGCATCAGCATCATCAGCATCGTCATCATCATCATCATCATCATCACCACCACCATCATCATCATCATCATCATCAGCAGCATCATAAGCACCATCATCATCATCATCGAAATCCGCCGATCCGGCGTGTGAGTTTCTGAGAGCGCGGGCTTGAGTTTGCTCGAGCTTCGCTCTGGCGAGGGGGGTGTGGGGCTGACGCGGGCTGACGTGGGCTGACGTGGGCTGACGCGTTTCGGTGCTCGGGGAGGGGGTGCTCCGGGGAAGGGGGAGGGGGGGGGCTTCGCTCTGGCGAGGGGGGGGGGACGCGTTTCGGTGCTCGGGGGGAAAGTGCTGGGGGTGGGGAGGGGGCTTCGCTCTGGCGAGGGGGGGGGGGTTCTACGCAGGCTGACGTGGGCTGACGTGATCTGACGCGTTTCGGTGCTCGGGGAGGCGGGGGCGCTCGGGGGGGGAAGGGGGACTGCTCGGGGGGAGGGGGAGGGGAAGGGGGGAGGGGGTGCTGACGCGGACTGACGTGGGCTGACTCGGTGCTCGGGGGAAGGGGGTGCTCGGGGGGGGGGAAGGGGCTCTGGAGGGGGAGGGGGGGGAGGGGCGAGCTTCGCTCTGGCGACGGGAAGGGTGGGGCTGACGCGGGCTGACGTGGGGGGAGGGGGCCCTACAATGCCCCGACGCCCATGCGCGGCGACCAGACGGCATCACACAACCACGGCGCCGCCATGCCGCCACGCTGGCGGCTGCGTCCTCTGCCCAGGGCCTCTCCCCGGGCCTCGGGTGGAGCCCCAGGCCGGCCCCAGGGAGGGTCGCGACTGGGGAGTTCCCGACCAGGGAGGATCGCCACTGAAAGAGGATGGGAGTCGCGACCAAGGGGCGGGGGGCGCGACCGGAGAGGAATCGAGACCGGGGGAGGCTCGCTATGCGAGGGGCGCTCGCTATGCGGGGGAGAGCGTCTCCTGCTGTCCTCTATCCTGCGTCCTGTTTTTGTTTCAAATCGTTTTGGAAAAAAACCATAACTCCTGTCCCTTTTTTGAACCGTCTCCCCCTGGGCACCCATGGAGGGAGGAACAAGATGGGGACGAGGACTACCAGGAAGGAAAAGATTACGGTGACGAGGGAAGAGGATGAGGAGGAGGAGGAGGAAGAGGAGGAGGAACAGAAACGCGCTGGGCTGCCCCCGACAGTAGCGGAATCGCCCCGGATCGGCGGCACTGGCCGGAGGCCACTACAATAATGTTCACCATCATCATCCTCATCATCATTATCATCATCACCGAAACCACTAGAATCATCATCAACATCATCAATAGCGTGATCATAATCACTGCCGCCCGCTGCCGCTTTCGCTGCCGCGCTGCCGCGCTGCCGCCGATCGCGCACGCGAGCACGAGCGCCAAGGCTCTCCTCGCTTGCGCCCTGACCGCCCCGATGCGGCCGCTGTCGGGCCCTACCCCTAGCGGCCCAATCGTCGCTGGCGCGCAGTAGGCACATTCGACCATACATCGTGCTACAACAGAGGAACAACACATGACTTAAACATGAACCGCGCGGACCTCCGAACGAATCTATATTTATGCCGTATTATTATTCGTGAGATCTTTTGGGGCACATGCTCCATCAACTCTTGAGGACCCCAGCGTGCCCCAACCCTTCTTCGGTGGCTACTCATGAGCCTCCCGTATCATCTTGACGGCTCTTGCGAATCGACGCGAGTCGGCGCTGCATCGACGCTGATCGACGCTAGATCGAGGCTAATCGGCGCTTGCCGATGTTAAATCGGCGCTATCTCATCGACTCCCAGACGCTAACCGACGCTAATCGATACGAAATACAGAACTTCAAGGGTACACAAGGCTACCATAGTTTGCTACTGAGCGCTTGGGTGGACCCCCGGAGCCAACAGGGGATCGGAGACTTCCGTGGGGCACCTGCTGGCCTGCCGATGTCTTGTTCGATGCGCGTTTTCTGTATCACCCGCTGAGGCTCTCACTTGATGGAACGCCCGACACGGGAGCTGAAAACTTGTTTTCCGTCGGCGGCGAGGCAGAGTTGGCTGCACCAGCGTTAGAGCTAAACGGGGGCACCGAGAAGCGAATTGGCCAGCGTGTCAGGAGCGGGGAAAGGAAAGACAGGGCGGCAAGGGTGCAGACAACACCTGGTGCGATGCCCGACCGCAACTGTTGTCCAACACCCACGGTTGCCGCTGTTGGGCAGGCAGCTCTTTGTCTCAAGCGGACAGCGCCCACGGTGGCACCGACAGCGAATCCTGTGCAAAATGGTCGGGGACTGCTGCCGGTCTTCGCACCCGTTCTCTCCACACCCATTCCGACCGTACCGAGATCACCTGCAGACATCCTTCAATTTCTGGACCCCAGCCGGTTCTTCTGAAGTTCGACCTGCGCGGGTAGGGCTCACATGTGGCGGGCTCCAGAAACCTTAAGCCCCCCCATGATGTCATCTCTGCCGAGCTTCCATTGGCTTCCGCCAGCGGAGGCGGCCTCGTTGCACTTCCGCCGCCCTTCCGACGCTTTTCCGCCGCCTCCCGCCGGGGAAGAGATTCCAGTCATCTCAAAATGAAGCCCTTGCCTTGCTGGAGCGCCCCATGATTGGAACGCCCAACCTGGGTACAGAAAAAACAGGTGGACGCCCAACACCAAATGCTGTCCAATACCGACAACGGCCGCTGTTGGGCAGGCGACGCTGTGTTTCAATTGGACAACGCCCGCGACGACACCGACAGCGAACCCTGCTCAAAGTGGGCTCGCTGGGCACAGCGTGCCGCTGGGGCCGCCGCCGTGACACGCTGAGCAGAAGTTTCCCACCGTATCCGCCGATCGTGCGTCCAGGGTCGGACTGGCCGGTACCGGTGTGCGGTCGGTGCATGTCGTGCCCCGTTCCTCCGACGCCCCAGCTCTCTGAGCTCCCATGCGGGTCTTGCGGTGCGGGTTTTGCCCTTCGTGGACCCACTTGACCCGGAGCGAAGAACAGCAACAGCAGAAGCATGCGTAAACTTTCGGAGGTCTGCGCGGATTTCTTGGATCGGCGCTGGTCCCCCGTGTCGGTCTTCGTCCCGGATCTCTCCGAACCCACTCCTGAGGAGCAACGATAGGGGGGGACTGGCACATGGGGGGGGACATCGACCTGCAATCGGCGATACATCGCCGATAGATCGGCGATAGGTCCCTGATGGTGGGTCCGACGTGCCTGGGCAGGCTGGGGCTATCGGGCCCCTATCGGCGATCAATGGGCGATTGGGGGTCGATGCATCCCTCCCAATGCCTATCCCCCGCTATCGTTGCCCCAAGCTGCTCCTCACTTCAACTCCTTGACTGCATGGCCTTGGCCCTCCCGAGCGAAGCAACGCGACGTGCGGCTCCTGCGCCCGCCTCCACGCCAACCCCCCATTGGTGCGAGCGCCCGCCCAGCCCGGAGACCGCGGCGCCCATCCCCCCCTATGCCTATTCCCCCGGTGCGAGTGCACATCCCCCCTATGCATGTCCCGCCTACCCATCGGTCGGAAGAAGTAGACAGAAACATGAGGTAGGAAGGCGTTGAAAGTAGATTGGGTGTCCGTCCGCCCCCTAAGGAGGACGGAAAAGGTGAAGCCACTCGATCATTGAAGTAGGAAGGCGCTTAAAATAGATTGGAATCTGGGAATCCCAAATTACCTACTTTCAACGACCGATGGGCATCGTTGCCCATGTTTTCCGAACGTACCGACGTGTTGCTGCCCAGCACCGCCAACGGCTGGTGGCATCCCGGGGACTGGCTTTTCGTCCCAGCTTGCTTCTTGACTCGGCGGCGAGCGAGGCGGGAAAGTGAGAAGGAGAAGACCCTCTCAGAAGGCGGCGGGGCTTCTCAGAAGCCCTCTGGCCGTCCGAGAGGTTTCCTGCGTCTTCTGGGCAGGCTTGGACAGCTGCCCAGAAGGCCAGAGGACTGCCGACCTTTCTAAAAAAGCCAGTTCTCACCTCCCCCTGGGCTCGCCGCCGATCGACGGACCCGGATCACGTCATGCCACGATTCGCGCTGGCGCTGTCGGGGAATGAGCCAATCTTATGCCTTTCCACTCGGCGCCAGCGCCAATGGTGACGAGACCGGCGCCGGCAGCGCGAGCGAATCTCGAGGAACCGAGACGGAGCGATCCGGAGGAGGCACCTCAGAAGGGCCCCGTGGATTGCTCAGTCCAATGTTCGGTTCAGCTTCTGACGTTTGGGGGCCCCTCCATAAGAGGAGGGCGCCCTCTGCCTCGACGCAGGGGTGCGGCGAGGCTTGACTCTCGGCATACGCTGCAGCAGCGTTGAAGCCCGTGCCCACCACCACCACCCGTGGTCACGCCCGCTTTCGCCAGGGAGGAGGAGGGGGAGGAGGAGGAGGAGGAGGAGGAGGAGGAGGAGGAGGAGGAGGAGGAGAAGAGGAGGGGGGAAGGAGGAGGGGGAGGGGGAGGGGGAGGAGGAGGAGGAGTAGGAGGAGGAGGAGGAGGAGGAGGAGGAGGAGGAGGAGGAGGAGGAGGAGGGGGAGGAGGAGGGGGAGGAGGAGGAGGAGGGGTAAGAAGAATGACTCCGACAGCTTGGAGGTTGAAGCACGCGGCCCTGCCTGCACGGTTGTCCGCTCGTGCCCGCCGCACGCGGCCCACGGCCGCAGAAGCTCGCGCCCGCCTCTCGCCCGATCCTCCGCCGCCGCCAACGACGACGATGGCGAAGACCAAGACTACAATGACGACGGCGACGACGACGGCGACGACGATGACGACTACAGTCGGGGCGTTGACCTAAGGAACCCTAAATAAGGAACGAGGCCCCTTTCTCCATAAGTTAAGCTTCGATTTCCTATCGGAAACGTAAGGAAAACCTGAGGCAAGCTGTGAAACACTTAAGGAACGCGGAGCCCCTCCCCAACCAAAAGGGTTCCTTCTTCAGGGCCCCGACTGTACGGCTACGGCGGCGGCGATGGGCAGCGACGGCTGCGACGAGCGGCGACGGTGCGGGGCGGGGACGACGACGACGGGCGGCGACGGCTGCGACGATCGGGCGCACGCCGACGTGGATCGGGACTCCGGCAATCTGGCGCGTGGGCACCCGGTCCACGGATCGGGGAAAGCACCCCCGAAACAGGAAGCTGGAGCCGCCACATGCGGCGACGGAGCGCGTCGATCTTGTGTGTGAACGGGAACAGTCGCTCATCCGCGCGACGTCATCCTTCCACAGGGGTGTTTGTGTCGCCCAGGATCCGATTTTTGATTGCCTCTGGGCCCGTCAACGGGCCCCCAAGGATCGGAATCGAAGGGAAACCGCCTGTTGAAAAATCATATCGTGTGAGATCTGGGTTGACGAGACTCGATGGGATGGGAAGGGGAGGCTACGAGGACCATCCTGGCTGCTTCTCCCTTCCAGAATTCAAGCGTGATATGGCCGCGGGGCAAAAACGGCTCCCAGACGCCGACAACCACTCACATCCTTTTGTCCTCTATGCTTTTGCTCGCCAAGGCGAAAGCGGACGGCGAGTTCAACTCTGATTGTCGGGGCTTGTCGAGCCCCGACAGTCAAAGCTGAACGCGCCGTCCGCCATCCTGGTTGAATGAGCCGACAATCAGAATTCAACGCGCCGCCCGCCGTTCACGACGAGGAGCAGAATTAAACGAATCCGTGGTCCAAGGCCCTTGGACCACGGGCTCGTACAAACCATCCCAAAGCCAGATCGAAGCAGGATCGGCAGGATATCGGTCGAAGTCGGCTGACACATCGAAATGGCAGGAGTCGGATCGGGCGAACTCGAAGTCGGAACCGCGATCCGGAATCTCCACAGCGAGTCGACTCCAAGCGGCAGCCGCGGAGATCGTTTCGAGCCGAGCCGGCGAAGTCGGAGTGACTCCCGCAGGGGGGGCCCTCTCTAGGATCGAACTCTATACACCGACGCTTCTTCTGGCCCTGCAATCAAATTTGCGCTGGAGAGCGGATACTGGTGTACACGGGACCCTGGTGTATACAGTTTTCGTTGTTTCCCCGGGACATAGGGGAAACAAGTATACACCACACCACCCCAGCGTCGTCCTCGACCCCCCAAGAAATCCGGGGATTGAAAAACGGCCCGCCACTGGTGATGTAGATGTTCCAGTTTCCGACTCTCCCCGCCCCCTTGGGGCCACGGGCCGAGCAGCGCGGTGCGCCTCCTCTCGAGGAGCCGCGACACGCTGTCGGGCCCCCGCTCCGGGGAGCGGGGCGCCGGGCTGTGGCTGCGCGCGCGCTCCGCGGCCGCGGGCGCCGGGGAACCTCGGGGAGGCGGTATCGTCGATGCTCCGCCCTCTCTGGGCGGCTACCTCCACCTGCTCCTCCCCCTCCTCCTCCTCCTCCTCCTCGTGCTCGTCCTCCTCCTCCTCCTGCTCGTCCTTCCTCCTCTCCTCCTCCTCCTCCTCCTCCTCCCTCCTCCTCCTCCTCCTCCTCCTGCTCTCCTCCTCCTCCCTCCTCCTCCTCCTCCTCCTCCTCCTCCGCCCTCCTCCTCCTCCTCCTCCTCCTCCTCCTCCTCCCTCATCATCATCATCATCATCATCATCATCATCATCACCATCATCATCATCATCATCATCATCATCATCATAATCATCATCAGCATCATCATCATCAGCATCAGCATCATCATCATCGTCGTCATCATCATCAAATCTGAAGTTGCGCAAGCTCTGGTTCCTCCCCCTTCTCCTCCTTCTGCTCCTCCTCCTTTTCCTCCTCCTTCACCTCCTCCTTCTCCTTCTCATCCAACTCCCCCTCCTCACATTGATCCCGCCCTCCAGTTATCTTCCTCCTCCTCCTCCAACTCCTCCTACTCCTCATCCTGATCATCATCCTGACCATTAGCATCATCAGTAACAGCGCCATGATCATTACCACTATCATTATCATCATCACTTCCACCATCAACAACATCAACATCAACATCAACTGCATCATCATCAGCAGCATCATCACCATCATGATTCCCATCTTCATCCTCCTCATCATCATCAGCATCAGCAGTAGCATCAATATTGCCATCAGCATCAGCATCAGCATCAGCATCATCATCATCATCATCATCATCATCATCATCATCATCATCATCATCATCATCATCATCATCATCATCATCTTCAACATCATCATCATCATCATCATCATCATCATCATCATCATCATCATATTCAGCATAATCATCATCACCACCACCATCTTCATCATCATCATCAGCATCATCATCATCATCATCATCGCCATCATCATTATCGTCATCATCATAATCGTCACCCGCAGCATCCTGATTGTTATCATCTGCAACATCGTCAACATCACTAAGACCATCATCATCACCGTCTTTATCAGCATCATCAGCAGCACCCGCATCATCAGCATCATCAATATCACCACCACCATCACCTTCACCATCAGCATGAGCAGCGCCACCATCATCGCCATAGGCATCCTGTCATCATCATCATCATCAGCAGCATCATCATCATCATCATCACCATCATCATCATCATCATCATCATCATCGTCATCATCATCATCATCATCAGCATCGTCATCGTCATCGCTGACGTCATCGTCATCGCCATCGGAATCATCATCCTTTTCTTCAGTATCATCAGCAGCACTCTCACCATCATTACCACCATGATCAGTATCATCATCATCATCATCATCATCATCATCATCATCCTCATCATCATCACCATCATCGTCACCATCATCATCATATTCATCTTCATCACCGTCACCATCATCATCAGCAGCATCAGCAGCATCATCGTCAGCAGCAGCATCATCAGTATCAGCATCGTCGCCATCGCCATCAACACTACAATCAGCATCATCACCACCACCATCATCATCACAATCACCAGCATCAACAGCATCATCAGCATCACCATCGGCAACATCACCATCACCATCATCATCGTCATCAGTGTCGTGGTCGTCGTTGTCATCCGCATCACCAGCATCACCAGCATCACCGCCGCCGCCATCAGCAGCACCATCAACATGGTCATCACCACCATCACCATCACCATCAGCAGCATCAACGTAACCAGCATCATCATGATCAACCTCCTCGTCATCCTTGTCATCCTCCTCATCATCGTCACCATCGTCATCATCGTCACTGTCGTCACCATCGTCATCATCGTCGTCATCAGCATCATCACCAGCATGACGTTTGCCATTGCAAGCATCATCACCCCATCCTCGCCACTGTCTGCACCATGATCATCATCACCATCATCAGCAGCATCATCATCAACAGCAGCATCATCATTATCATCGTCATCGGCATCGTCATCATCACCATCAGCATCACCATCCCCATTATCATTAGATTCATCTTCATCACCATCATCACCGCCATAATCATCAGCAGCATCATCATCACGTTTCCCCTCTGCCTCCACCTCAACCACCTGAGAGCTTCTGCTGAGCCTTGGGTGGCCGACAGCGCCTCGGCGACAGGTTTCGCACTCGGAGCGCGGATTTCAAGTCGGTTTCGATGGGACGATGGGACCTGCATGGGGCATGGTCCCCAGCCTGCAGACACTGTTTATCTGTTGTGGTCCATATGCACACTCACCTCCACTTCCACCCTCCTGACCCCCCCTCCTCTACATGTTCCTCTACATCCAACTCCACGCACACATTCACACACCTCAACATAAACCTAGATCTCACGACGCACACGCGGTCCTCCTCATCATCCTATGCATCCTCCAACTTGTCATCATTTCATCCTCATTCACAGCTTCCTCTCCATCTGTCTCCGCATCCACCTCGTTCACGTCCACGTCCACCTTCTGCTGATCCCCTCCTCCGCCTCCTCCACTGCCTCCTCCTGCCCTTCCTCCTGTCCCTCTACCTCGACCTCCGCCTCAACCTCCGCCAACCTCCAGCTCCACCCACCTACACCTACTCGCGGACCCCATGACGCACACGCACAAACGTTCCTCCTCCTCCTCGTATTCCTCCTGCTTCTCCTCCACTGCATTGTTCAACCAGCAGCGTCGGAGAGCGAAACGCGACGTGTCATATATCATAAACCTCTCTGGGCAATGAGGGGAAGCTGAAATCGCACACTATCATCTTCCCATCACCAGGGGATCGACTTGGCATGCGTCACGAGTGGATGGATCCTAGCGAAAGCTGTTGCATACTCGGTAGGTCCGACAATCCAACGGTGTGGGTCTGCTGTCCCCTGTTGCAGCCTTCTCCGAACCGAAAGCAGGAACAGGCTCTTACTACGGCTCTGTGTGGGGCATGACCTCCCAGGAGGGCACGCGACGGGCCAAACGTTGGGGCCGTCTAGGCGCTAGACGAGGGACATGCGATATGCAATGTGTTCCCGGACCCCGAGGAGCCGATGAGGCATGATTTCATAGCGTCGGACGCTGTAAACTGGCGATGACACACGTTTCGGACTTCTGGACCCCCGGGAACAGGAAGACAACGCACTGCCTTGGCGGTCACCGCGCAGGTCAAGCTAGCGCTGGGTGAGCACATCAGACTGGGGCGAAGGATGCCCCACATGCCCGCAAAACGTCCCCGCCCCCACCCAGGGGATCACGGAGCGGGCACGCAGGCACAGCCCAAAACGGGGCGTGGCGAGAAAGCGCCAAGGAACGCAGGTCATGGCTGGGCCTCCGCAGGCCGTAACCATAACCAAAGCGTTTCAGGATTAGAGGCCTGCAGGGGCCTTGGGGTTCGGAGGGTCCGACTCCCAGGCCTCCCCTCGTCAGCACGGTGCCGACCCCCAAGAAATGAAGTCCTGCTGCGCGCCGCCCTATCTGACATCCGATGGGATTCAGGCGGGCAGCAATCTACAAGGAGGTGGCTCGCCACACCTGTGGTGTAGAAGCCGCATCCTATACAAAGGACCAGATCGCCTGGCGCAACTCAGCACCTGTGTCCTCGCGCCGCTTCGGGCGGCACGATGCCGCAAGGCGGCATGGGGGCCACAGGTACCGTGGTCGCGTTCAGGGAGGGCCTGGGGCTTCGTCTGCCTTGCCGTGGGCGCTTCGCCGCGGGCAAGGAGGAGCGCCCATCCTCGACTTCCTGGACGGCACGGTCCTGCTGCTCCTGGGCAGGCGACCGTAACAGAGCCACGGGGTCGAAGGTGACACGCCTCCGCACACTGCGACCATCGTCAGACAAGCTAGACGAGCGAGGACGACACGTCGACCGACGCAAATCCGACATCGACGTCGACAAACGGGCGAGAGGCACCAGCAGGGAGGCGACTCGTGCTCCTCTCAGGAATAACAGCCTCCTCGCGCCAGCGCGGCAGCCGATCGTGGACGAGAGAACAGTCATGATCACGCAGAACCCGACACCAGCAGCTCACGCACGAATGTCTACGCAGTCGGCCTCGACTCGCCTTGCCACGTCCCGCGCGCCGCCCAGGAGGGAGGCCGAGTCGACGATCATCCCTCCTCGATGATCCTCCCTCCTCCATCCTCCTCCTTCTCCTCCTCGATCACCCCTGTTCTAGAGGCCTCCCCGATTGGGTCGGAGTAGATGGGGTCGGAGGATCTCGCCGCACCTTCGATTCATCACCGCTGCATCGGCGACGTCGGCCTGGAGAAAGTCGTGCTCCACATCAGGCCACATCGCCGATGCATCGGCGATGCATCGGCGATGCATCGGCGATGCGGCGCGATCCTCCGACCCCGTCTACTTCGACCCCATCTGGGAGGCCCGGATGTTCCCCTCGATCCTCCTCCTCCTCCTCCTCCTCCTCCTCCTCCTCCTCCTCCTCCTCGATCATCCTCGATCCTCATCCCTCTTCCCCTCGATCCTCCTCCTCTCCCGCCTTCATCACCCTCGATCCTCCTTCCCTCCTCCCCTCCATCCTCCTCTTCGCCCCAGCCTCGCTGCGCGCCCTCCCGCGGGTCGCCCACGGGAGGGAAGGCCGAGGCGGCCGGGGCCTGCTGCGTCGGCGGCCATGGCTGCCATGCAGCTGGCGCCGGGGCCGCGCCGGGCCGGCGAGCGGCCGAGGGCGGCGCGGGCCGACGGCCAGAAGGGGGGGGCGGTGCGCACGAGGCGCGCCCGGGGCCACCTTTCAACGGGGGCTCGCTGCATCGGGACGTCGTCCTCGACCTCGCCCTCGCCCTCGCCCTCGCCCTCATCGTCCTCGTCGTCCTCGTCCTCAGCCTCGCCCTGGTCTTCCTCGTTTTCGTCCTCCTCGTCCTCGCTCTCGTCCCCGTCCTCGTCCTCGTGCGGATCGTCCTCGTCGTCCTCGTCCCCCTCCCCGTCGTCTTCGTCGTCCTCCTCGCGCCCCTCGTTCCAGCCCCTCTCCTCCTCGTCCTTGACGTCCTCCTCATCTTCATCCTCCTCCCCTTCCTCTTCCTTCCCACTATCCTGCGCATCCCCCGTCACTTCCTCGTCTTCCTCTTCCTCGTCTTCCTCATCCTCGTCCTCCGCCTCCTCCTCCTCCCCCTCCTCCTTCTCCCCCAAGTGTTGCTGCTCTTCCATGTTCTTTTCGGTTTTGAGAAAATGCACCGACCCTTCGGCGTGTGCAAGACGGTGAAGAAGCTGTCGTCGTCGTCGTCGCCGTCGTGAAACCCCAGGATATACAAGGGGAATATAGAAAAGGAGCGTCTTAGCTAAGTCGGAGGGAAGCCCTTTTGTTTTATCCCTTCCCTGCTGGGGAGGGAGGGGTATGGGGGGCGGGGGAGGGGGACGGAGGAAAGGGGGGGTCCTGAGTCAGAATACCAAACTCCTGGGGTCCCGGGGGGGTCGCCAGCTGGGGTCCTGAGGGAGGTCCCGCCTTCAGGGTCGGAGGCCCTGGCAGGAGGCATGGCATGACATGTAATGGACCTGTCGCGAAGCGAAGTGGCATGACTCAACAAAACCACCGACCCTAGGTCATACCAGGCCATTGGGGTCTGCACTTCGGCCAAAGCCCCATGAAGTCTATGGGCGTGACTGGCCCGCGCCAGTGTGGGGGAGGCTAGACACGGCTCGGCCAGCCCAGGCCCGAGTTGCACACTCCCATAGAATCGGCACGCGCTGCATAACCATAACTGAAGATCCGGCTGGTACGACAAATCGTGAGATGGGTGGGTCCACCCTCCTCCTACGTGCATGCGTTGACCCCTCGCTAGCCCGATGGAAAGTGAATCCGACTGGGCCAACAGCTCGACACAAGGGGGGTCCCCCCATTCGGTCAGCCTGCCTTTGGACGCGCGGCCGAAGCACTGTTGGCAACTCTTGCTGCCGGCAGAAAGAACGCCATGGGGCCCGAAAAAGGCGAGAGAAGCAGCCGACGGAAGGGGATGGCGGGCCTTTTCCCCTTGAGGCGAGCGATTTTCAGCAGCAGCCGCTTCAAAGGTGGCGCGCCGACGGCACCTGCGCGCGAGGCGAGCACTGAACTCGGCCTCTGCGACACGCTGTCGCAAGGCAATGCAAACTCTAGCTTCTCGGGTGGTGAGGCCAGCCACTTCGCGGGCTGCCTCGTTGCCCAAGGCCGTCCAAAACGGCGCTGCGGCCCCGTCGAGTTGCTCGCCCGCCATGTGAGACGCCACCTGCAGCACAATGACCTGACAGAAAAATCGCTGACCTTCGCAAAAGCCGATTTTCCTCCGCAAATCTCTGCTCTCCCCGCGCGGCTCGCGGAATGTCTGGCTCGACCACCCATCCCTGATCGCCTGGTTGCCAGCGCCGTGAACGAGAGGGCCTGGGCGAACAGCAATGGCAGCCCGCAAAGCCGCCAACTCGCCACGAGGAGGAGCCAACTGATTATTCCCAGGGATCGGCCCCCCGAAGGCCACGCTGACCTGGAAGAGGGGACATCTCTGGACAACAACGAAGCCAAAAGCAGCTCTCCTAAGTCGCCACGGGAGCCCACGCCTCTGCCGGCATCTCCGCACACGAACAATGGATAGGAGTCTGTGCCGACGCCGAGGGGGCGAAGTCTGAGAGAGGAGCATCGTACTCCGCCGATGTTCCATTCGAGACCCTGGACGGGCGCTTCTACCCTGGCCGAGGCCGCCGACAAAATGCCGCGTGGCCAAAAGCACGTGTATGCTTCGTGCTGGCCAAGGGCTTGTGGGGCCAGCGCGTCTGATGCACTGTGGACCTCGGCGCCAGCGTTGCACCTGCAGGCCCCTGCGCGGCGATGCGCTGTCTCGGGCAACTCCTTGCAACGAGCGCGGATCGGATCCATGTCCCCTCCGACATCGTCGAGGATGCGCTGCCTGGGCCAGCTCCCGCCGCCCGCGACGCGCAACGCCATCTCGGCCAACTGGTGGCCGTGCTCGGCCTTCTCGAGGGCCTGGAGGAAGCGTCGGCAGGATCAAGCGTCGACCCCGCCTTCGATTCTTGCTCCGCAGAAATGCGCGGAGGCTGACCGCCACTGCTGAATTCGATCCGCGTGTTCGAGCTCGTCCAGAAAAAATGACATATCGTCGCGCGGTCCTAAGCCGTCGAAAATAAAAACCTCCCTATCCTCGCATCGAACCGGCCTGGTCCCCCACTCCACTTACAAATAGTTCTTGATGACCGCCTCCGCTGGGCCACGCGTGCGCCTTCTGCGGCGCTGGACGGGAACCCGTCTGAGCTTGTCAACAACGTTCTGCCATGCGATCTAACGGGAAGACGAACGCCAGGATCGCTCTCTGGGCAACGTAAGTCGAGCACCGATGGCAAGCACCTCCAGCGACGGGCGGAGCTGGCGACGTGGCCCGGCTTCCTCCTCATCCCCAGCAGGGCGCCCCCCGAAAACCCCGCCAGCAGTGGCGTGTTGGTCGTGCTCCTGCCCGCTCGAGGCGAACAGCAAGACGGTGGCGCCTGGCCGCATCGGCGAAGCGTTTGATTTTTATCCGTGCATGCTCGAAGCCCTGGAAACTCTTTTGCATGCCGTACTCCTCGCATGACGTCTTGCACGCGAGTCGACTCCGAGGTGCCCCGCCTGCAGCACTGCCATCACCTTGAGGACCTGCCGAGACAGCCGACTGGCGACCGCGTGAGCATCGCGAAGGCGAGAGCCGAGCAGCACGCTCCTCGGAACTATCTGCAAACCGGTCTGCTCTAACGCCTTGCTGGCTTGCAGAAAAAACCTGGAACAGCTTCGTTTTGACAGTACTCCGCGAACCAACCACATACTGAGACATATCGTGCATCCTCAATCTCATGTCGACCGTGGGATGGGCGATGGTGGCATTCCCAAGGACGCAGTAGGTCATTCAGCGGCCAAGCCGCGCCCCGCTGTGCATCACTTCTCGCACGTTAGAAACTGAGCTACCCCGATACGCAACGCGCAACACGTAGCGTGCTGACACGGAGCTCAACACGTAAAGTCTGACGCGATGAGTTCGCGAAAATGTGGGCCAATACGTTGATCCAACACGCAACGTATCGACACGGACGTTGCGAGAACGGCACGCGCTGCGTATCCAAACGGGCGCATCGAGGCAGCTAAGGTTGGAAAGCCTTCGAGAAACCATACAGTTGCGCCAAGGCCCTGGGTCCCAGGCGAAACTTCAGGTCTGAGAACCAATGACTGGCGGGAACCTTAACGATAGAGTTTTCTCCGCCGATGTAATCAAGCATATTCGATCGCTACAACTCAAACCGAAGGCCATACCCATGTGGCAGTGGTCCTCCTCCCTCAGGATGCGAAGGAGACCTTTTTCTGCGGGTGGAGCTCCCAATCTCAGCAGCGCTTCACTTGGGCTGGGACTTAGTGGGCCAGATCTTGACCCACGGCTCATATGACAACGACCATATGCGCATATCATGCCGATGGTGCGATCACCTCCTGATTTGTTGGCCAACATGCGTCCAATCATGGGCATCGGCTGCCACGGTCAAGTCAGACAGCCCTCCACCCCATTCAGGATGACGGCTAGCTCATCCAATCCTTCCAATGGCAAGTGCTCCACATCCAGAGGTGATGATCGATCGATCCCTTATTCAGCCCGAGGCCTCATAGCGTCAGCTACGGACTTGAACATGGGCGCCGTCAGTATCGTGATCGATTTGTGTAGAACTGCCAGGGCCTCCTCTGTCATCATCCACACACGGATTTCGTCCAACGAGCTGTGCAGCGCACGACCAGGAGCTCGACGTCCAGTTTTCTCTGAGGTGTCGACCATGGCCTTCAGGATGCTCAGCTGAGGCTGAAGAAGATCTCGAAGATGTGATGCATAAACTTGCCAATCCCAGTCAGTAATGTAGATATGTGCGTCCGCAGGTAGCCGCTGGCCAAGAGTGTGGCCGCCAATTGGAAGGCCTTGCGCCCGTTCCCACGCTCACGATGCCGAACCAGTCTGGAGATAAGTGTATGCACCCGATTGCACCATGAGTGCGTCTGGTCATGGAGCGGCTGGGAGAGCATCTCCTCTGCCATGTGGACCTCCTGGACCTGGAATTTGGGCCCTGACCCTCCGGTCGAACCTCGTACTGGCCGCTCATGTCCATGATGGGCTCCTCCTCCTCCTCCTCCTCCTCCTCCTCCTCCTCCTCCTCCTCCTCCTCTTCCACTGCCGTGATCCACGCTGCAAACATTCCGCTGAAAGCTAAGACGTGGCAGGCACCTATCTTGTCGGAGAGGGAATGCCGAACCACCGCCCAGTCACACTCGGCCGAGACAGAACCGACCTGAATGTGAAGCTCGAGTCACGATGACGACGGAGTGCATGAAGTCCAGGGAGGGCCCAAAGGGAACAGCACCAGCAACAGCAGGGGTCCCATTGTGAGACCCCGAGGGGTCATGAAGACTGCGAGCCCAACACAACACCCCTCCCAAGCCCCCTCCACTACCTCGATTCCACCTCTCAGACCTTCGATGTTCAATGCGGATCCAGGAGCCGGTTTTTCGTCGCGGGATCGTTTTTCACCAATTTCCCAGACATCCGACGTCGATTGTTTCTCAATGTGGCTCCCCCAAGGTCTCGACCCCTTCCCTGGGACAGATGTTTCATTCCGAGTCGTTGTTTGACGGCTGCGGGGCC